AATCTTGGCTCACTGCAACCTCCGCCTCCTGGGTTCAAGTGATTCTTATGCCTCAGCCTCCTGAGTAGCTGGAACTACAGGTGTGCACCACCATGCCAGGCTAATTTTTATATTTTTAGTAGAGATGGTGTTTCGCCTTGTTGGCCAAGCTGGTCTTGAACTCCTGACCTCAAGTCATCTGCCTGCCTCAGCCTCCAAAAGTGCTGGGATTATAGGCATTAGCCACCACACCCGGCCCTGTATCTGTTCTTCGTGGTTCTTTGTGCTAAATTACTGTGCAGGCAAATGACTTCAACTTTCTGGACTTCGGTGGGTTCCTGAGCTATAAAATAGTAGACAGGTAGCTATTCTGAGGAGCTGTTTGAGAAGAGCAGCAGAGAAATGGGTGGTGGTTGAAGGGAGCACTGGGCTCCAGGAAGGGTCTGTAACAGAATAGGAGAGAATGTTTGTTTGCTGACGGAAATGATGTGCAGGGAGCTGGTTTGGTTTGGGGAAACATTGTTGGAGACTGTGTTGAAGGAGGTGAGAGACAGGGATCTGGCAAACAGGAGCCCCAAGGTTGCCCCTTGTCACAGGTGGGAAGGCAGAGGTGGTGCCTGTGAAGCTGGCAGGTTGGCAGATTTGATGGGAATGAAGAATAACTCTGGAAATTTTAGACAAATGATCATTTTAAAGATCAAAAGTAAATCTAAATACTACATAAAGAAATTTAAAATAAAGCAGATTTTCTTCATTGGAAGTACTCATAGCCAACAGGATGTCATTGTTTTTTGGTTTGCACTGTACATGAAGACATACCCATTTTTAAGGGTATATGTCAATGCTGTTCATATGCCTTTTTTTGAAATACACATTGGCTTCAAATTTGACCATCTCTTTTCTTAGGAAAGATGAAAAACTTCAATAATGTAGTTAGCGTGTTTTAAAAAGGACTGATTTTTACCTCGCATAGAGAAGTCATGGGAAGACAGCTGTCGCACCGTATCAGCTGTTACCACCAAGATGCTTGTGAAGAGGCTAAGTATTGATAAACCCTCCAAAGTGGATCACATGCATGTATTTCAGCTTCCTTAACATGGATTCTGATGGCTTAGGTTTATGTTCATTAATAGTAAATCAAAACAAGCCATTTGATTTAGGGATGAAATGGGTTAAGTAATTGTTATAACTGAATTCTACCAATCCACATATGAGGAAATTGAGCCTGAAATACTTCACCGGAGTTGCCCAATAGGACGTATGCATTAGAGTTGGGTAGCAGAGATGGGCTTAGGACCCAAATCTTCTTTCTGCTCTGGGATTTGCCTGCTATAATTTAGGTCTGTTTGTTTCAGAAGCTTCTAAGGTGCTCTTCTAAAGTGACCAGATGCATAAGCAGAAAACAGTTAAGGAATTAGGCAGTGCATACTGAAGTACTAAAGTATTACCTTTGAAGTAAGTGCACTGCAGATTGGGAGAAGGACTATCCCTGCTGGTTGGCATAATCTAGGGAGAAAATACTAGCGCTGTAGTAGCTGCAGTAAAAATAAGTAGCTAACATCTAGTCATTATATCCCTAGTACCTAGCATAGTACCTGTACATAATAGGTACGTATGAATATGTCTGGGGTTTAAATTTGGGTACCAACCCTGTCTCAGGCATTGTACTTTACATCCATTTGCTCATTTAATTCTCAGAGCAACCCTAAGAAAGAGTGAATAAGCGTTGTTCCCATTTTATAAACGAGAACACCGAGGCCTGGAGAAATGAAGTATCTTGCTTAGGACCATAAAATTAGTAAGTAGCAGAGCTGGAATTAAAACCTACACTGGCCAACCCCAGGGCCCATGGCATGAACCGCTATGTTATATGACCAGCTCTGGACTTGAGAGTATTGGGTAAGATTTACGTAAACAGCAAAAGGTCTGTGCATACCGAATGAGGGAAACAGCTTAAACAAAGGCATGAAGTGAAAGTGACCATGGTGTATCTGTATCATACATCTGGTGGAACCAAGTAAAAAGAACACCGAGAAGTCTATTTGAGAGACTGTTGACATCACTCCTGTTCTTGTTTTTCTTGCCTGTGAGCATTCCTCAGTTACGGGTATTAGCAGCAGCCGAGAAAGATTCCAAGGGAGGTAGTTTTGTCTTCCACCCTCCTATGTCAAGATTGGTAGAACTTCATGTGATGATTGACAACATTTAAAATACTAAATCTGTGTGTAATATCACTTTCTAAAGTTATGTTACACAGCCAAATTCTTTGAACAGAATTTTAAGTGGCTGATTCAAAATCTGGTACATCTGGGTATTCAAATGTAGCCCTGACAACATAATTAAGGATAATTTTATTCATCCGCTTTGCTGAAAGTTCAGGAAGCACTGGACAGATGGTCAGCTCACTCCCCTAAATCCCTTTTGTTGATCGAGTCTGTCAAAACCCTAGGAATGTGAGTCTTATTATTGCAATGGAACATTTTCGAGATAAACAGTAGCTCACAAAAAGACAAGGGACATTTTTATTTTTTAAATCCCCAATTAGCTGTCTTAGTTTTATGTAATTGTAATTGCATGTTTACTTTCTCTGAAGCTAAAATAAATCTTTACTCTGTGAAACAAAATGAATGTAGGAGGCACATTTTAGCTTGTTTATAAACACTGCGTGTTCACACGTTAAAGACTATTTTACTAGTAGGTCATAATTTATTGTTACTTATGATCTGGTAATGTCTGTCCACACGTGATAATTTGAGTGTTTGTGAATCTGACATGCATGCTGATTAGCTGGTTCAAGCCCTTTCTTGGTTACACTCCAATATTTTTGAAAGCGTTAATATCACAAACACTGGTAGCAGTAAAAACAAAGGAGGAAGTAAACTCACTTCAAAGAAAGGCTTTTCCTTTTTAAAAGTATTCTAAACAAGGATATTGTGAGTCATGGTGCCAGAAACATAGAAACTCCTACATCTTGGGAGTTTGTTTTCCACATTCAACTAATAGAAGGATGCACAGACATATGCAAATATAAAAAGTCATTTTAGTTGATGAAATTTTTAATTATTTTACTGGAATTTAGTGGAAATTTAAAATTTGAAACAAGGCAAAACATTTTTTATAAGCTAGAGAAAAGTTCTAAATTTAAGATCTCTCTTTTTTTTTTTTTTTTTGAGACTGAGCTTTACTCTTGTAGCCCAGGCTGGGGCTAGAGTGCAGTGGCACAATCCCGGCTCACCACAATCCCCACCTCCTGGGTTCAAGTGATTCTCCTACCTCAGCCTCCCAAGTAGCTGGGATTATAGGCATGAGCCACTACGCCAGGCTAATTTTGTGTTTTTAGTAGAGATGAGGTTTCTCCATGTGGGTCAGGCTGGTCTCGAACTTCCAAACTCAGGTCATCCTCCTGCCTTGGCCTCCTAAAGTGCTAGGATTATAGGCATGAGTCGCTGCAACTGGCCAAGATCTCTTAACAAGGTCTGCCTTAGTAGGTTTTTGCAGAAATAAGCTAATCCTAGTGCATTCTCAGCAGTGCTTTTTCATTTAGTTCATTCATTCATTAACATTCGTTCATTAAAAAGTATTTATTGACCAGGATGGTCTCGATCTCTTGACCTCGTGATCCACCCGCCTCCCCGTCTCTACTAAAAATACAAAAAAAAATTAGCTGGGCATGGTGGTGCGTGCCTGTAATCCCAGCTACT